GAATTTAATCATTGGCCTTAAACAAAGAAGAGTTGATTATTACTAGTATTCTTGACAATTCACTCATGTTCTTATATAAATCTTGTAAAACAAAGCTAATACGGTACCTGTAGAGAAGGCTCAAACCAACTATTACCACAGCCAATAAGCCACCAATTAATCCGACTGCAATTATAGTAGTTCTTGCTGCAAAACAAAAAGCAGTGTAATTAATGTAATGCAGAATCCCAAAACAGGCTATAATTCCCAGCAATTTTATACAGATGTGTTGTAGACTGTCACTATGAGAGGGTTGTTTCATTCTGTCTTTTAATTACAAATTTAAACTTGTCATTATGTCTTTTTTTTCCACATTTTCAACCCTGATTTAGGCTGGACTGGCAGAACCAAAGGTTTCTGCAGACCATTCTGGGAGAGATATGGTTTGCTGTTAGATATAGGAAGACTTTTTAGAGCCTTCTCATTCAGCAGCATGTTCTCAGCCAGTCATTGCTTAAATAAAGTGATGGGTGGGTGTCTTTGCTCCAGACTCCCAGAACCCTTTGCTTTTATCAGCACAGTATGATGGAGAATAGTCACCATTGACAATACACATCAAACATCTCTTGACAGCCTGAAACCTGTAACCTACCCCCATATGATCAATGTACACCAAATAGAAATCTTGAATATCTCTATTTGAATATTCACAATTTAAGGAAAAGGAAACTTAAGGAGCATGAATAAATAATTCACAATTTTGAAAACGCTGTTCACCTCTAGAAATTTAGGACTAAAGGCAGAAAATAAATTCGTTTAGTGATCTCCTCATCTTGGGTCAATATATAATGTACTTTACATTAAAAAATTAAGATAATGAAAATGATAATGTTTGATAGGAGAAAGAACAAAAGAAACCCTTAAGAAACACTTTTATATTACCAGATAGATACAGTATGTGAGAAGTATATGTGAGCAGATACTGTACATGAATCTTACACTCATATATTAATACACTGTAGATTTCTTAACTGAAAATATTTTACAAAATAAGATAATCAGAAACGAATTTGTGGTTTTGACCAAATTAAAAAAGAGTCGTTCAAAAGCATGATAAAATTTGATGGCTTATGTTTGAATAAATATAATTAATTTAATCGTTTTTTTTAACATTGCCTTATTTTTTTTACTCTGATATAATTGTTGTTGGACTGGAGTGAAATACGTCCGCTCAGCATAATCAGCAGTTCAAATATCCTGCAAACACAATATTTTTAGAACATTTCAGAAAGATGCTATCTGTAATCAAGCAATGTGATTATTCTTTCTTCACTTTGGGATAGATTGAAACATATTAGAGAGCCGGCAGACCTTTGCTGTCGTCCTCACACATCTCCTCTGTGAATCCACACACAGGAGTGTCCAAAGGCGGCGTGCTCCGGCCTCCTGGCCAAACAATACTGAGTCCTGGAACCTGCTCGTAGTTTTTTCGCGTCCCAAAATAATTTGCGATAACCTGCACATATCAGAAATCATATGGAGTAATAATTGGCAAGAATATTCTTTTGGCTCAAAACACACAGTACATACTGTACAAACAGATCAAAAATTAATACATGCAGTATATTGTTCTTTTGATGGGTGTTACGGCGGTGATGCTTGCCCGTCGCCGTCATTTCTTCAGCCAGGCGAGTTAAAACCAAAGTACTTGTAACAATATCGCTTTACTCGTCGGCGGGTTTTGTCATCATCTTGAATATCTGTTATCTGTACCCTCCTTTTCTGGTCAGATTGTGTTAAACTGTAAAATATCTAACCTTGCGAGTCAATAATGAGGCATTTTATCAAAAGCCAAATACGTACAAAGACTCACCTGAAATGTTCCGTTACTTTTGTTTTGTACGTGATACATCATATAAGATGATTCACGGTCTCCATTGTCATCTATTGTTACTTCACCCTGAATCCCTGAATCCAGTTAAAGCAGAGAAGAAAGGTTAAATTACACCTTATAAAAATGCATTAAATTCGGCGTTTACAGTAAGATAAGTTAAGAAGGAACACATTGCAATTCTGAACATTTCAACTTGCATGTTGATTTTCTATGATTAGAAAAATATGAAAAAGTAAATGTAACCCATACTTGAAATTTGAAGAATATTGTTTCATATCAAAACTGTGTTTTTTTTAATGTTATATTTATATATTGTGTTATATATATTTATATTTTCAAACTTTATATAATGTGATTTTTAAATGCTGGCTTTAATTCAAGAAATGACATTTATTTTATGTGGTGCCACTAATAAGGTGACCATGTGGCTCTGTAATCTCCAAAACTCTTTGAGATAGGATGTGATTTTATGTTTTGAAAGAAATCAGCGCATTAATTATTGTACATGTGTCAAGATAAAAAAAAGGAGGTCTAATTACAGGGTATGAAAAAATGAGGTATGCCAATCAGGAGCTGTTCCCTGAGATTATGGAGCAATATAGTCACCCTTAAAAAAGAGGCATTTTTTAAGCTGCTTCATTTTAAGGCAGTAATTTCCAGCTAGAGACTCCCAACTCATTAAATACACTCAAGTAAATTACCTGTGATTGTTCTATTCCACATTTTCCGAGAAATGGCAGTCCCATTATATGGATCACCATTTTCAGAAATGGTTTCATTCAGTGCATGTGCATACAACCAGACAGAATCATGGGCGATTGCAGGTAGAACAGAAACCTATGGAAGAGAGTGTAAAAATAATTGCTTGCACCTCATTTCCTGAGAAAGAAACCTCTGAACAGATTCAGATCTAGACTGAATATAAATTGATGTACAATTCATTGTGTAATTCATACACTCATCTGGAAATCTGGACACTATGTATCCTGCATTTGACACTAAGGGCTGAGAAAGGGTTTATGTACAGTGTGTAGACTTCCATTGTAAGCCTTGCACATGTGTGTAATCCATATTGCCGAACGCAAAATTTAATATCTGTCACGCCCTCTGCAGCCAGAGGGCGCTCCTTCTCTGTCCTGTCTCTTGTTTCCGGTGCTTTGCTCTCCTTCCGGTGTTTCTCTCTCTCTGGGGCTATATATTTCTGGGTCTTTCATCTGCTCCTCGCTCAGCATTGACGTTCGGATGTCCTGAGACCCGCCTAGCACCAGGTCGCTCCACGTCCGCTACCTGAGGGCATAGGTTTCTATACGGCATTTCCTGAACAGCTGAGCCCGGGCTAACCCCCGTCTCGCCGGTACGCATAGGGTCTTTATCACTCTCCTGCCATTCCACGGTTCGTCCTTTCTGACATCCGTGATAATATCCTTGTTAAATCTGCATCTTAAGTATTCAAACATTTTAAACTTCTCTTTTCATGAAATGATTAAATAATATTAAATGTAACTTTGCTTTCTAATAAATTGATGTTGGTTACGTATGGTTTTCCTTCTTATGGGATAGCATTTTTAGAAGTCCACAAAAAATGGTAAATACTGTCCCAGGCTTATTTCTTTTATCTCCCTGGCACTATTTATTAATGCATGACACCTTTTTATTGTAAAATGTCTCTTTTTAAATTTTACATTTTAAATCTGGCATTAAATACAGTACATACGGAATAACCATAACTATTTCTTTTAATTAGGGATATTTAATAATAATCCAGTAGATAATATGTTCAACTGTTATTCAGATCAGCTTCACAGTAATTGCTTGATTGGCGTTTTAGATATGATCAGGCATTTAATTCTTTACTTTGTTTTTAAATATTGTCTTAAATATCTTCCGCACTAATTCATTTAACTGCATTTTCTTTTATTTCTGGGTAACAATGATTTGTAATACCCTGTGCATGTTTGGAATTTCCTCTAAAGAAAAAAACAGTTCCAGTTCTTTGCTTTTCACCCGAGTGGATCACATACTGTATAGTCTACTACATGGTTTTGTTCAGACATAAATCCCAGTACTCAAAGGGATTATGAAATTGTTTAAATTTGTGTAAAGACGTTTAGAAAATTTAAAATCTGTTTTTATATATATATATATTGTTGGAAGTCATTTGTCATTTTGCGGCCTTATCTGTTCTCACCAGTCCTGACCTGAGGTAATCCTGTCCGCCACATTGGTAAGAGTGAGTACACGTTGGAACAGCAGAAAAACAAATAATTGAGAATTT